TAGATATATATTCATGGGTACATACATACATGCTGATCATTATCTCTTCCTATCTATTTATCTATCTATCTATCTGTGTTGGTATAGACATGGGAAAACCAAATAACTAGATATTAGCATATATATACGCGCGTTAACGTGCATACACAGGTTAGCAAATAAATATTTACTATATTTACTTTAAGGTTTAAATATAACAATGCTCAATGTTGTATGACACAGCTCTACTAACTCTAGAAACTAAAATATATTTGACAATTATAAGTCTATATATGTTGATACAGTAAATAAGAGTAAACAGAAAATTAAACTAGAATACATTCCAATCATTAACAAGAATACCAATAGTAAACATAAGAATAGAAAACGCAACATAATTTGGTTCGGCCCACCTTTTAACAGTAATGGCAAAAACAACATCGGTAGGATTTTCCTAAAGTTAATACACAAACATTTCAACGATAACCCTTTACTCAACAAGATTAATTACAGAAAAAGTGTAATTGCCGTAAAGGTATTATTTGTCTGATGAATGACAAATGTATGTATAAAGGCGTCATCTATAACGCTAGCGTTAGGCACAATGGCGAAACCAAATTTTATTTCGGTTCAACTACAAATAGCTGGAAAACGAGATTTTACAATCACAAAATGCCACTTTCAAAATTTTACTGAGATATTAAAACAGATGACTAAACACCGGTAGTAAAGTTGGATTTCGTCGTTAAAATTACAACATTTTCCGGCTGCGGCGACCGATGCGAGCTGTGTTTGCTGGAGAAAAAGAAACATCCTCAAAAATATTAATGGCTTAAATCTGCTTAATAAACGAAATGAACTAATGTTAGGTTGTAATCATAGATAGGTGATATCAAAATGGGAACTTGTAAAAGGTCTTTTTGAGCATTAAAAAATTGTTAAACTGTCAAAACTGTGTGCAGGACAACTCAGAACCGCCGACTGAGCACAAGGATATCTCAGGACGGAGACGACTGAACATCAGAAAAATCATATCTTTATATATAAATATATTAACTGATTTAAAATATGTTTTTCGCTACACAGTAATAACCATGTTTCATGCTCTGTAAATTTACATTGAGCACTGTTTTGTAAAAATAAAAATAAAAAGAACACCGATTTATATATCTTATTGTTCTTTCTTTTTATTTATCTAAACTCAACATAAGATTTGGTACCACTACATCTAAAAGAATAAAACACTTAGCCAACACTAGACAAAACTATAAGCTAAGACATGGAGGAAGAATTTGCTCGATCGTCTGTAATAGTTGACACAACTGCATCCATTAAGGCCCCTATATTAGGTCCTGGGTAGGACGTAAAACTGCATCCATTAGTTACTGTCCTAAGAAGCGTGATAGTAACTGTTTTAATGGGTCCCAGCTATGGATAAAATAACAAATGATTCTCTGGATCACTCTGACCCGGAGTGATAATAACTGTTTTTTAATGGGTCCCAGCTATGGATAAAATAACAAATGATTCCTGGATCACTCTGACCCGGAGTGATAGTAACTGTTTTAATGGGTCCCAGCTATGGATAAAATAACAAATGATTCTCTGGATCACTCTGACCCGAAGTGATAATAACTGTTTTAATGGGTCCCAGCTATGGATAAAATAACAAATGATTCCCTGGATCACTCTGACCCGGAGTGATAGTAACTGTTTTAATGGGTCCCAGCTATGGATAAAATAACAAATGATTCTCTGGATCACTCTGACCCGGAGTGATAATAACTGTTTTAATGTGTCCCAACTATAGGTAAAGTAACAATTCTTTCCACTTTTTGCTGTGATCGCAATCTAAACTTATAATATTGTTGTTCATGTTTCATTAACCCGAAGTATTTAACTGGGAACAAAGTGATATGACTAATTTTTGTGAATATTAATTTTCAATAAAATATAAAAAAAAAGAAAAAAAAAGAAAATTTGGAATACTAAAGTATTTGTTACATATTAATATTACCTTTAAAAAAAAAAGAAAAGAAAAAAAATATTATTTTTGGAATTAAAGTATTTATTAACTTTACTAATATTTTGAACGAAGATTCCATATATACCCAAAAAACCGTAACATGAAGAAGATGCAAATACTACAGTTCAAAGTGTAAAATCTGTCCAGAGGAAGACTATTAGTTGTGCACACCTCAAATCTGGCTTTGATGGAAAAAGAGGCAAGAAGATAACCATTGTTGAAAGAAAGCCATAAGAATTCTCATTTGCAAATTTCTACAAGTCATGGGGAAGATACAACAAGCATAAGAAATAAAGTTCTCTCGCAATTTTACAAAGACTGAGCAGCCTCTAGATGTGCAAAGCTGGGAAAGATACCCCAGAAGACTTTATGACAATGTATTGAATCGTTGCGTGGGTGTTACGTGTTGAAATAATTATGTATGGCTGCTTTATTTACCTAATTATTGTTTGTGTATAATATATATATATATATATATATATATATATATATATATGATGCAACCTGCAAAATTATACACTTCTTGAACTTTTTTCTGTATATATATATATATATATATATATATATATATATATATATATATATATATATATATATACAGGTATATAGTTAGTAAATAAGATAACTAGATACTATACGCTGGTAAGCAAATAAATAATTCCCAAATTTAGCCAAGAGGTGTAGACATAATAGTGCTCAATGTGATTAAACAGAGCTAAATATATATCAATAAATACACATATACCTACGTTTGATATACGACTTGAATTTGGTTGGTTACCCAACGAAATTCAAGCTCACGTCAAACGTGAATATATATTTAACATTATATATATATATATATATATATATATATATATATATATATATATATATATATATTCCGGTGTACAGCGAAATTGTCGAAATCACGTAACAGCATGGGATAATTGTTTATCCCACAAAATGTTTAATATCTAAATAAACACAAAACCTAATTGAGTTACTTTATCCGGGTTTCAGATACGATGTATTGCCATATGGACACCATGTGCCATACGAATTACTGAAAAACCCTTCGAATTATTCAGCTAGAAAGAGAGCAGGTTAAAATCATTTTGAGTCAGATACACTATGTCTTTGCAACTGAGCAATGGTGAGAGGAAAAAGATCTTAAATTCCTTCAGTAATGGTACCAACATTCATACCCGGGCTTCCATCTTGAAAATCCACTCATGAACCATGAAGAGGGGAAAAACTAGAGAGAAAACTAGTCGGTCTTGGCCTTTCCGCTAACTTGGAGCATGTGCATGTAAAATTTGGTGCAAACCCGTTGAAAATTGCGACCGTGCATTCTTTACACACACATATCCTGTCTTATATATATATATTCCTCTGTAGCTATATATATATATATATATATATATATATATATATATATATATATATATATATATATAACTACAGAGGAAGCGTCTTGTTAGCAAAGTCCAAGATACTGTATTTATACAACAAATTTTTCACCTGCTATGCCACTCAGCTACACTGGGGTAGACTGTTCTAGTTCCACGTGCCATGTCTAATAGATGTCAGTTATCTCCTGGTTATTTCCTTCTCCAATGTGCGAAATAAAGGGTTCAGTTCGACATTCGAACCACCTGAAGAAGGCCGTAGCGTACAACAGCTGGAACGATGTAATAAATGTGGCGGCAAAGATGAGGACAATAGTCCACATGAAGTAAATAGTATATATATATATATATATATATATATATATATATATATATATATATATATATATACAAATATAGATAACTATACTCGTTTCGAAAACCTTCGAATTTTTTAGATTTGCCAATAATCAAATCAATCTCGAGGGAAAAAAAGGTTTTAAAAAAAAGAAAGAGCTAGAAACATGAAAGTCTGTCGAAAAAAATCGCACAGATGCAGGTTTAAAGCCCAGATAAAAAAAAATCCCGATACGAATAAACAACGAACTAACAAAAGCGCTCAATACAACCGTAGAGCAGACCTAGATAAACCTAATGAGACAGACAAACATACCTAGGTTTCACCTAAGCGGATCGTCAGGGAAAGCCGGCTAAAAAGGCAAAGAGAAACGCATATTTATAGGCGATAGCCAAAATTATACCGTGTGACCAAAGAAAAACACAAACACAAAACCACCTTTTTAAAGATTTATTCAACTAAAAGGGGAGGGGATATTAAGATACAACATTAAGGTGGCATGACAAATAAACGGGGAAATTCGTCTTAATTTAGTAACCAAGATTTTTCATGCCTACATATGTTAAGAATTTCGGTTTTGAAGTTTAATAGCTGGTTAGGTTGATTATATAAAGCTATGGCAGTAACCCTTCTACTTGTAATTGTAGAAACAAAAATATCTGCCCATTACAGGGAAAATGTCAGCAAGAATGCGTGGTTTGCCAGGTCAAAATTTATAAGGATAGGGAGGATACTAACCCTAAAATATACATAGGTGCTACTCAGGGCAAATTTAAAAAAAGATACTATAACCACACGAGTAGTTTTAAAACGATAAAACTAAACATAGTACCATGCTATCTACCTACATATGGAAAACCAAACAAGAAGATAATATAGACCCCATCCTTAAATGGGAAATATTTTTAAAAAAATGCCCCAAATATAAATCAGGCCAAATTTGTAAATTATGTACAGAGGAGAAATTAGCCATAGCTTTATATAATCAACCTAACCAGCTATTAAACTCCAAAACCGAAATAATGTATATATAATATATATATATATATATATATATATATATATATAGTATTTGCGCGTAAGTGACTATAACTAACTCAGAAGGAATTAGGACCATGTTCCCGGCTTAAAAATTCACAGCAATTAACCATTACACCGCCCGCACGTCCACATTAACATCAACTAGTTTTCCAAGCGATCATTCATCTAGGTACTGAACAGACTGGACGTGTCTTGACTTCTGTTTCAATGTGAGGTGGCCAAGAGACTACATACGCACACGCATAGATAGATAGATAGATAGATAGATAGATAGATAGATAGAAAAAGACATAGATAGATAGATAGATAGATAGATAGATAGATAGATAGATAGATAGAAACAGGCATAGATAGATAGATAGATAGATAGATAGATAGATAGATAGATAGATAGATAGAAACGGATATAGATAGATAGATGGAAACAGACACAGATAGATAGATAGATAGAAACAGACATAGATAGATAGATAGATATATAGATAGATAGAAACGGATATAGATAGATGGAAACAGACACAGATAGATAGATATAGATATAGATAAATAGATAATGAATAGATAGATAGATGAATGAATGAATGAATGATGAATGAATAGAAAAAAGACATAGATAGATAGAAACGGATATAGATAGATGAAACAGACACAGATAGATAGATAGATGGATAGATAGATAGAATGAATAGAAACAATGAATGAATAGATAGATAGATAGATGATAGATAGATAGATAGGATAGATAGATAGATGGAAACGGACACAGATAGATGAATGGATAGATAGACAGATAGAATGGATAGATAGATAGATAGATAGAAACGGATATAGATAGATAGAAACGGATATAGATAGATGGAAACAGACACAGATAGATAGATAGATAGATAGATAGATAGATAGATAGATAGAAACAGGCATAGATAGATAGATAGATAGATAGATAGATAGATAGATAGAAACGGATATAGATAGATAGATGGAAACAGACACAGATAGATAGATAGATAGATAGATAGATAGATAGATAGATAGAAACAGACATAGATAGATAGATAGATAGATAGATAGATAGATAGAAACACTAAGAAAGAAAGAATTGACATCGCAATGAGAAAGAATTGTAAGACTATTCTTCTTTGTCAAGTCATTTCTCTTCTTAAAAACTTCTCTATTTCACATTCGTAAGTAGGCGTGAATGTCGTCAATTGTTGGTTACCATTTTGAAAAGCTAGATGAGATTGAGAATCATTATAAAAGTGAATTTTTCGACGTTTCAAGCGGAATGCCTGAGGCCACGCAATGAAATGCGCTTTCCATTCGTCTCATCGTTTCTTAAACACAATTATCTTCATTTCTTTTGTTCGTAATTTTAAACAAGATGGCGAAGAAGGACGATTATCATTCTTAATATGCCATGATTATCCTACTTCTTCGCCACCTTCTCCATCTTCTGCTTTACATCTCTATATCCTCATCACGTTTATTATTATTATTATTATTATTATTATTATTATTATTATTCACCGTTTTCGTTTCTCATACCTTCGTCTCCTTCTGCATTACTTTTCCTTTTCACTATTATCGTTTTTATTAATCGTATTATTCGTATTCTTTTACTTCTACATCTTTTTTTATTTCATTCTACTTTCTTCTTCTTCTTCTTCTTCTTCTTCTTATTATTATTATTATTATTATTATTATTGTCCTTCTTCGCCGCCTTCTTTTTGGCTACCTTCGTCTTCTCCTTCTCCTTCTTCTTCTTCTTCTTCTTCTTCTTCTTATTATTATTATTATTATTCTTCGCCCTCTTCTTCGCCCTTTCTTCTTCTCTTCTCCTTCTCCTTCTTCTTCTTCTTCTTCTTCTTATTATTATTATTATTATTATTATTGTCCTTCTTCACCCTCTTCTTCTTGGCTACCTTCGTCTTCTCCTTCTCCTTCTTCTTCTTCTTCTTCTTCTTCTTCTTCTTCTTATTATTATTATTATTATTATTATTATTATTGTCCTTCTTCGCCCTCTTCTTCTAGGCTCCCTTCGTCTTCTCCTTCTACATCTCCTTTTTCTTCTCACTATTATTATTATTATTATTATTATCTTTCTTAGCCGTCTTCTCTTTTACTAACTTTCTCTTCTCCTCCTACGTGTCTTTTTTCTCCTCAATACAACTATTATTATTATTATTATTATTATTATTATTATTGTCCTTCTTCGGCGTCTTTTTGGCTACCTTCGTCTTCTTCTTCTACATCTCATTTTTCTTCTCATTATTATTATTATTATTATTATTATTATTTCGATTTCTGCTATGGTCAGACTACCTACCAAATCTGCGGACAGACCTAACGCAGATAGTGTTGTGTTGCTATGGCTACATTTCATGATTTCTTTTTCTAACGCCTGTAATATCACTAGCGTTACATGGACAAAGTTCTTCTTAAGGTGTCAGTTGTACTTATGAAGACAGTTTTTTGTACTTCTCTTAAGCTAAGATTTCTAGGGATTTTTTTCAATGCGCTATTGTTTTCCTTTTTTATCATTCCAAGCGCACCTTCTATGACTGGTATTATTTTTGTTTTCAATTTCCACATTTTTTTTCGATTACCAGGCCTTTATACTTCTATAGTTTTTTTTCAGATTCCTTGGTTACTATGTTACAGCCCGCTGGGCACGCCCTATCAATTTGTTTGTATGATTTTTCTTTTCGGTTTTTGACAATTTTGTCCGGTCTATTTGCTTCAATTGTCCTGTCTGTAGAGACGGTATTATGGTGTCTTCTATTTCCGTAACCGCTGCTGGGTGATGTTCATACCAGTGTTTGTTTTCATCTTTTCCAAAGGGTTTGCCCATTGTCCAGTGTAAATCTTACCCCACTCTACCGTGGCAATATTTATATTGATTTGACGCAAGTATAGAACATCTTGAGATTAGATTGACTATGGTTTTTTTTTTACATTTGCCACAGAACCTACATTTTAGATCCACACTATTATGTATGAGATTCGCCTGAAAGTTTCTAATGAAAAGACTCTTGTTTCAGCCTTTAATCTATTATTATTATTATTGTTGTTGTTGTTGTTGCTGTTGTTGTTGTCTAAGTGTCAGTCTTTAATTTAGATGCTCGTAACCATTAACGAGTGTTAACTTTATCAACATCGGCTTTATTAGCCTCGTTCTGGATATTGGCCATCCAGAGGTTTGTCTTGCCAGCGTTGTTTCATCTGTTCAAGATCTTTATCCTTGGCTTTCTTTTTCATAATTTTTTTTTTTTTTTTTTTGGCTACAACATTTGGTTTTTGGATTCTGTTTTGGTTTTCTACAGAATCTACTAAATGTAAATCTCGTTTGTGTTTACGACCTTCTTTCATGATTGAATATTTTTTTCTTTCTGTTTTCGTGTTGTTTTACTAATTGTATCATTCAGTTCTTTGATGTTTCCATGTATGTTAATAAGACAATAGTCTTATATGACAATTCTATCCGGATAAGACCTCTTTCACCTTCTTTACGGGGTACGTATAGACGGTCTGCATCAGCATTTGGATGATGCATATTATGATTAGAAGAAATCTTTCTTGTATTAGAATTCATTCGTCTAATGTCATCAAGATGATGAAACGATATTAAACCACTGTGATGACAACACTCTTAATGGCCATAATTTTGTTCTAAGAATTCAATTCAGTTCCTAATATCAGTCATACACATTTTAGTACTCTTTTTGCATTATCTCTTTTTTATTTTTTTTTCTCTTCACCCTCATTTAAACTGACGTAATTATAAGCCTCTTCTTACTGTAAATCTTTGATTGTTACCCCAGGGTCGAAGCTAATAGAGAAGGTTTGTTGTACTGATCCTTGTAAAACTGTGGCTTTAGCACATTTATCCAAACCGAACTCCATTCCAATGCCATCAGTGAAACATTTTACTGTTTCGAGGAGACCTTCCAGTTCACTGCCGTTCCTAGCATGCAATTTTAAGATATCAATGTGTTATGGTCCAGGTTAGGACCAAGGAAGGACAACACGAACACAAGAGTAGAAATAACGAAGGTATGTTACACGAAATAATAATACAAGATGTGCAAGATGTTAGTATGACTGTCAGTCTGGTTTGGAGTGAACTACTATCGGCTCGACTCGATTCGGTATCTAGCTACCCTTCCACGAGGGTTGCATGTGGCACAAGGCCGAGTTTAACAAAAAATGTCCGTAGAACCCGTATAAACGGGATCGGGTTGGTCAACCTCCCCGAACGAGACTCTGCCCTTCGGCGGAGCCTCGTCCGGGTTCCTCTCCGCTCAGAGGCAGAGGGTTCGACCGTCAAGCCGAAACGGCTGGACTCGATTCGGTATCTAGCCATGACACAATGTAAAATACATGACTTATTTTCTTTTGAGATAACTTATAGCCATTTTCTGTACTGTTAAGTTTGCTGGTTAATGCTATTTGGGATATATAAAGTAGTAAGGGAGACAAAGTGTAACCTTGAAATATTCCTCTGTTGATGTTTATTTCACCAGATTGAAAGATTTCATTTATATGATTGTGGTGAAGAGATTTTTTTTTTTGTTTGTTTGTTTTTTTTTTCCATGTCGACATACTTTTTTTCTTTGTATTGAAGCAGTTTTCCAAAATCGTCCGATAGGCTCCAGAGGCGGATATGCAATATAATTGGCCCTGATCTGGCATCTCGTCTACAGTTACTTTCTCACAGACGCGCCGTCGCCTCTCTCTGTCTGTTTTACAAATACTTTCATGGTAATTGCTCAGACGAGCTAAATTCGCTGGTTCCCAGACTTCATGAGTTCAAGCGCCCTACGAGGCTGCCATCACGCTCTCACCCTTTCACTGTCGAAACTCCTAAATGTAGCCGTCTCTTCTACTCCAATAGCTTCACGTCTCGCACCTCTCGCCCGTGGAAATCCCTTCCCTATTCCTGTTTCCCTGAGAGCTATAATCTCCAGCTATTCAAATGTAATGTCAATTGACATCTCCAGTTGCCTTGATCTATCCACTACCCTCATCCTTTCTTCTATCACTCCTATCTGATCTTGCTCCAAATTTTCTGTAACCCCTTGCGTCCTAGTGGCTTCCCGGCTTGCTTGGGGTGAAACGCTTAAAAAAAAAATACGTTTTTTACATCCGTCAGAGCCACGTTTACGCCCTTCCTGTTCAAGAGGTAGCATATCATTTTTTTTTCTCGGATGAATAGGCCTGATTTTTCAGTATAGATGTCATAGTTTGTATTAGGTTGGTGCAAAAATAATGATGTAATAATGTCGTTTTTTGATGTATTTTTTAACGTCAAAAAACGACATTATTACGTCATTATTTTTGCACCAACCTAATAAATAGTGAGAAGAAATGTAATTGGTTTGTAGATTTGGGGGATATTTGTGTTACCATTCTTGGGTAGAAGGAGGATAATTCCTTTCGTTACTCATGCTGGAATTTTGGAAGGATCATTGACTATTTCTTAAAGTTCTTTGGCTAGATTCTGTGTGCTGTGTTTAGATATTAGAGCCAAAACTTATGAATTTTATCTATTCCTGGAGATTCGTAGTTGTGTTCTTTTTTCAATGGACATTCAATAACGTCATCTATGATTGCCTTCCATGTTCTGGTTTATTTCTCATCCGTCCAACCTCTTTCGTAATCCAATCTGCTTTTTTGTTGTTCTTTAGGGCAAGCCTTATTTTCCCCAAGAACTGTATAATCTCTTCCATTGTTCGGCACGGGGTGTTGTCATTTCAATTTTTTGCTTGCCTATTTCTTTCTAAAATTTCTTCGCGTCGGTTTAAAAGATCTTCTCTCTGTAGAATCTTGATTTTTTTTTTGATAGCGTCTTATTCTTTGAGCCTTCAGTTGTATTGGTTGCTTTATTTTTTCTTTAGCTGATACGACTTCATTTTCATTCCTGATTTTGTATTTTCCTTTTAATTTTATTCTTTTTCTAGTCATAACATTTATTTCTCTTGCCAGTTCTTCGAATACTGATAACTTATTTCTATGTTGTTCAATTTCTTTCGTTATTTTTCTTTTCTAAGGTGGATCTTAATGTCTGCGAGACTGCCTATTTTTACATTGATGGTAAATTTTTTAGTTGCTGCAAATGCTGAAGCACATATTACTTCATTGAGATTTATATGTGGGTCTACTTCATCCAGAATTAATTTGAGTGCAGCATTTTAGAGTTGAATAGTTTCGTTTTGTTGGTTGTAATTTCAGGAAGTGTTTTCGTTCCACCATTTCAATATTTGGTCTGATTTATATGCTACATTATTATTATTATTATTATTATTATTATTTTATTTTCTTTGATTTCTGATGTGTACTCATTTCTTTCCGGGTCCCGCCCAGGGACCTAAGGTTAGAAATGGCATCATGACATTTTCCACAGGAAAAAAAATTACATAGACCAAGCCCTTCGTAAGGTGTGAACTGTATTCGTGAGAACAATTTTTACCAACCAATCTGAGGTCTCCAACTACAACAGGGATTGTTGATGTTCCCATGTGCCACATTTTTTTTTTATTTTAAGATTTCGATTTATTATTATTATTATTATTATTATTATTATTATTATTGTCCTTTTTCGGCGTTTTCTCCTTGGCTATCTTCGTCTTTTTCTACATCTCGTTTTTCTTCTCATTATTATTATTATTATTATTATTATTATTATTATTATTGTTGTTGTTGTTGTTGTTGTCCTTCTTCGCCATCTTTTTACTTGGCTACCTTCGTCTTCTCCTTCTACATCTCCTCTTACTTCTCACTATTATTATTATTGCGTGTGTGTTATGCTTCCTACTTTATATCCTATAGAGCCAAGTCCAAACTGTGGTTCTTAGGCCCTATAGGAGAATTGTCATTTAATTGATAACACTTTTCTTAGTATATGGGATCTTCCTAGTGGGGCGATCTTCTGGACAACCTGTATGTTGATGTTACCTGGGGTACTGTTAGTAAAATTGTCCATTCCTTTACTCTAGAGGCCCAAGCTCCTATTACTAATGGTACAGTCTCAGTCTTCATTCCCCAAATCCTGTTATTCTCGATCTCCAGGTCTTTGTATTTGGGCAATTTCTCGATAATTTTCAGGGCGGTGTTTGTCTCATATGGTACTGTTACTTCAATAAGCATACATTTCTTGAATTTCTTGTCTTTTATGATAATATCAGTTATGTTGACTTTTATTTCCCTGTCTGTTTGAATTGATAGAGGATAGTTACATTATTATTTTGGGCAACTGTGTCTGGTTGGTGCTTATACCATCTCTTAGTGGTTTCAATTTCGTGCTTCTGGCGTATCTTCCAGGGCACATATGTTGCTACCTTGTTATATCTGTGGGTATATTCATTTCTTGCCAGTTCTGGACATCCAAGAGATAATATGGTCGACAGTTCCATCATATTTTCCGCCGGTCCTGTATTTCAGGTTAGTTCCATCCTTGATTATGTGACAGTGATCGGATCTGGTTGCGAGGCGTTGATCCTGAGCTGCAATTATTATTATTATTTTTATCATTATTATTATTATTATTATTATTATTATTATTATTATTGTTGTTGTTGTTGTTGTTGTTGTTCCCTCTCTTCTTGGTTTCTTTCGTTTTCTCCATCTTCTATTATTATTATTATTCATATTAGTAGTAGTTTTTTATTACCAACCTCCTCGTAAGGAAATCGAAATCGTCCTGCTAAATTCTCTTTTCACGTTACAAACTTTTTGTGCTACCCATAAATAAGAAAATCAAAAAAGCATTGTTTATATATATATATATATATATATATATATATATATATATATATATATATATATATGGGGCGCGCGCGCGTGTGTGTGTGTGTGTGTGTATTATATCTAACGGCCAGTGCAATCGATAAAACTCGTCGAGGTTTCATTATCCTTTGCAGAAGAAACCAACGTCTGATCTTGTGTGCTTTCGACCGCTCTGTCACGAAGACCTTCACAGCTCAGCCAAATACAATTCATCCTTTTCAAGGAATGCGCATCCTCTCGTTCAGATCTTCTTTAAAGCACATTGAAATATTATGTACGAGGATGCGAGAGAGTCTCAGAGAGATATTTGATTAATTTATTTTTTTTACGGTTTATCAACCCTTTCGAAGTTATTTAAATCCAGAAATATAGATTGTAAGAATTATTTTTTTAGATAATAATTATGTAGTGGTAGATGTTTTATTAACAGAGCATATTAATTAACATATCGTATTAATTAATTATAATAATTAATTATTATTAATAATATATAGTACATAATTAAAATAATAATATTAATATATAAAATATTAAAATAATATATTAAAATAATTTAATTAAAATATATAATTATATATTAAAACTTAAATTATATAAAAATATTATTATAAAATGTTATTATTTATATTAAAATTATATTAAATATTATATATTAAGAATTATATATTAAAAAATATAATTAAAATTAAATATTAAAATAATGATTAAAATAATATAAAATAATAAAATTAATAATAATAATAATTAATAATAAAATTAATATATAATAATTAACATAGCATATTAATTAACATATTAATTAATATTATTAACCCCTTGGAGTGGGGAGGTGAATTGCAATCAAACATTTTCCCAAGAGTAATTACGCATAGATGAATACGATTTTTTTATTATTGTTATTATTTAAAAACTAGATGTATTACGTTGAGGAGTTAGAGTAATGAATTGCTGTTCGGACTGAGAAATCAGAGAGCCGAGTTCGAATTCCAGTCGAATAAATTATATTTACTTACATGCTAATAATTTGGGGAAAGGTATGAATCCTCATCTTCTTCCCCCAGTTACGGCTTATCAACCCTTTGCTTGTTATTTAAATCCATTCTTTCGATGTTAAGAATTTTAGGATCAGTGGGAAGATAATAATGATTTAATGATAAAAATTTGTGGGGAAGTGGTGGGTTCATGCCTTTCCCAAGGGTATTTGCTCATAGGTGAATATAACAAATGGAATTGGTACTCAGCTCCGAGCCGTTGTCCAATACGCCACACGGACATACACGCTTACAGCCCCTGGTATTTCCAAGTGCTCACCCATTTAGGTACTGACCAGGCTCAATGTTGCTTAACTTCTATGATCGTCTGGGAAGAAAGGGTTAAGAGAAAAGAATAAAAAATTATAAATTACTCCTCCAAATATAAGCTTTGATACGATTAAAAGGTATTGTTCAAGAATTCTTATAAGCATTTGAAATGTTTTCCATTGTTTCTCCTTCCATTTCTATGTTTTGAAATGTTTCCCTCTCCAAGAATCTCTCCATAATTCAACTATGTTATCTGTGCCTAACGCCGAGTCGTAACCACAGATTAAAAGATGTGTTCTTCCGTTTTTAGGATGAGGTGAGTAATATGTGCAATTGACGCATTCTAATTCTGATTCCGAATTTAAAAGAAAAAAAAAGGAAAAAAAAACATAGAATTGAAAGGAGAAGCAATGGAAAAAAAAGAAAGAAAATTGTCTCTTCATTTTTTTCTTTTTTTTTTTTTGCTCTGACAGAAAGAGAATAAAAGTTTAAAGATAGAAATAAAGAAAAGAAAACTGTAAAGAAAAAGAAAGATTAAAAAATAATTAGCGCAAGAAAGGAGAAGACAATAGAAAGACGGACAAAATACGGGATAAAGAAAGAAAGAAATCAACGATAAGAAAGAAAGAAAGAAAGAAAGAAAGAAAGAAAGAAAGAAAGAAAGAAAGAAAGAAAGAATGCGAGGAACAAAAAAGGTAGCCATGGAAAGAAAGAAAGAAAGAAAAGAAAGAAAGAAAAAAGAAAGAAAAGGAAGAAAACCTAGAATGGAAAGAAAAGAAAAAAAGAAGCCATGGAAAGAAAAGAAAGAAAGAAATCAACGAAAGAAAAGAAAAGAAAAGAAAGAAAGAAAGAAAGAAAGAACGAAAGAAAGAAAGGAAGAAAGAAAGAATGCGAGGAACAAAAGCTAGCCATGGAAAAAAAGAAAGAAAGAAAGAAAGAAAGAAAGAAAGAAAGAAAGAAAGAAATGAAAGGAACAAAAAGCTAAATGCATGGAAAAGACAAAAAGAAAGAAAGAAAGAAAGAAAGAAAGAAAGAAAGAAAGAAAAGAAAGACATGTTCTAAGAATATAAAAGGCTAGAAGTGAAGTAAGAAAGAAAGAAAGAAAGAAAGAAAGAAAGAAAGAAAGAAAGAAAAGCCTGCCATGGAAAGAAACCTAAGAAAGAAATCAACGGAAAGAAAGAAAGAAAGAAATCAACGAAAAGAAAGAAAGAAAGAAAAAAAAAGAAAGAAAGAAAGAAAGAAAAGAAAGAAAGAAAGGAAACAAAAAAGAAAGAAACGATGAGAAAGAAAGAAAGAAAGAAAGAAAGAAAGAAAGAAAGAAAGAAAGAAAGAAACGATAAGAAGAAAGACATCGACGATAAGAAAGAAAAAGTCAACGATAAGAAAGAAAAAAGAAAAAAGAAAGAAACGATGAGAAAGAAAGAAGGAAAGAAAGAAAGAAGGAAACAAACGAACAAACAAACAAATAAATATTAATAAAGAAACAAACAAACAAACAAACAAGGAAAGAAACACATGGATATTAAGAAAGAAAGAAACAAACAAAGAAAGAAACAAGCAAATGAGTATAAAGAAAGAAATAAAGAAAGAAAGAAAGAAACAAACAAACAAACAAGCAAACCAGCGAAAAAGAAAATTTGAAAAATAGACAAAAACAAAACGAACAGGGAAAATAAATGCAATAAATGCAGAAAAAAAATAAGAATAAAAAATATAGAAGAAAGATAAGCAACAAAATGAAAGAAAATAAGAAAGAACGAAAGAAAGAAACAAAAAAGAAAGAAAAGAAGAAAAAGAGAAAGAAATAGAGAAAAAGCAAATAAAAAATGAAAAATAAATAAAATAAAATAAAATAAAGGTAGGAAACAATTAAAAAAATAAAGAAACAAACAAATTCTAACCTTTTGCTAAGAAAAAATCATTAATAATTACAGTTGAAAATAAAAGAAAGAAAGAAAAACACAGAAAATAAATAAAGGAAAGTAAATAAAAAGAAGAGAGAAGACAGAAAATAATTAGAACAATGAAAGAAAGATAAAACAAAAGAAAATTCAACAATGATTCTCCATTTCTTATTGTTACCAATAAACGTTATGACATCTCTAAGAACATCACCCCCAATTAGACTAAATCACATATTTAAAAAAATAGATATGACGGCTATCTTCGAAGATATGTAGATATTAACAAGTTCAGATATGATTTTTTAATAACCTTTTAGAAGATTTGAGTTTTTGAGGGAAGCACTCACGTGCAAGTCTGTTCCACAGAGAGGGAATTCTGGGAATTCTTCGAAAGAAGCTCTCTGGATGGAAACTTATTCTGTTATTTCAAACAAGGGGGGAATTAGGGAGATTCGGCTCTGTGGTACTGTCATGGCTTGTTCTAACTGCAAATTCCTAAACGGCTAAACGTAATGAACGGATCTACCTTGAACAACAAATAGATAAACATGAAGAGACTGAGATAGATAGATAGATAGATAGATAGATAGATAGATAGATAGATAGATAATGTACCAAATAATTCAGAGGGTCTGACGAAGCCCATCCTTTTTAGACAGGTTTTAATTCAGAGATTTTCTTCTGCTAGACTTATTTCTCTCCCATACTAAATAGCAGACTGACCTGTTATTTATCCCGTATCTGGGGAAACATGAATTCATGCCTAATTCAGCTCATATTCTGAAATAACATGGTCGGATCTAGACTCTCATATGGATGTCTTGCAAGGCATCCAACCCGTTTGGAAATGTCTCAACTATCACCTATATATAACCGTTTTCTCAGATTAAAGACAATACTACAATAAATCTTACAGGATCACAAAGAACCTTACCCAATGACAAAGTCCACATTCTCTTGAAGACTTCCAACGGCAGCAACAACTCAAATTCATAGCACGTGCAGCTAGAATGAAAAATAAGACTTCCACTCGAACCTTCTTTCCACGAACCCCTGCTTTGAGAAGCCGACTCCCAAGAGAATGCATCCACGTTCACCACCGTCTGTTAAAGTCTAGGGTCAACCGTTATCTTCTTCACGTGTCCCCATAAATTTTGTCCCTTACTCTATTTCGAGTGGCTCTTAGGATTTGTACAGTGTGACAATATTTATTTAAAAAAAATGCACTGTCATGCATGCCGTACGACTCGTTCAGAAATATAAACACGCTTTTATTTACATTATTCTGATTATTGTCCTCATCTTTGTTGCCATATTTATCACAACGTTTCAGCCCTTTAGTATCTGTCTATATTTCTGAGATGAGGTATTATGTATATTATTTACATTATTCGGACTATTGTCCTCATCTTTGTCGCCATATTTATTACAACGTTTCGGCCCCTTCAGTATCTGTCTATATTTCTGAGATGAGGTATTATGTACACTATTTACATTATTATTCGAATCTTTGTCCTCAACGTTTTGGCCTTTGAGTTGCTATGAGATGAGGTTTATTACAAATTTACGTTTTCGGCCCTTTTTGTCGCCATATTTATTATGTTTCTATATCTGTCTATATTTCTGAGATGAGGTATTATGTACACTATTTACATTATTCGGACTATGTCCTCATCTTTGTCGCCATTTTATTACAACGTTTCGGCCTTCAGCATTTCTATATTTCTGAGATGGGGTATTATGTACACTATTTACATTATTCGGACTATTGTCCTCATCTTTTGTCGCCATATTTATTACAACGTTTCGGCCCTTCAGTATCTGTCTATATTTCTGAGATGAGGTATTATGTACACTATTTACATTATTCGGACTATTGTCCTCATTTTTGTTGCCATATTTATTACAACGTTTCAGCCCTTCAGTATCTGTCTATATTTCTGAGATGAGGTATTATTTACACTATTTACATTATTCGAACTATTGTTCTCATTTTTGTTGCCATATTTATCACAACGTTTCGGCTAATTTTTCTTTCCGAGCGCTTTCGCCTATACATTTATCTATTTTCAAGGTATAGATATATTAACTGTTAATAATAAATAGATTGTCTAAATGTAAAAAAGGCTAAAAATAAAGGAAGCCTTATTAATAAAAAGAAAAAATGCCAACACTTAATTATATCAAATATGAACATGGACACAATATCTTGACCGTGTTTTGAAAATGAAAACATTGTATACATACATACATACATACAACAGTTACTATATATCCCAACCTCGGAAATGGCTAAATGTATAGCCGAAAACGCTCGGAAAGAAAGAAAAATTGATTAGTTTTTATATAATTTATACTCCGAAAAGAAAAAAATTTATCAGATCAAATGAGAAATTGTATAAAAAAAAACTAAATCAAATCACTTTGTCTGTCGTGTTCAATGAAATGTGCATGAAAGGATTGCTGCCTATATATATATATATATATATATATATATATATATATATATATATATATATATATACAGGTTCGAATCCTGTCGGAGGATGAATATTTTCTATGAAAATTTCTCAGACATTCAGGCCGGTAAATGTTATTTAATACTGTTTATTATAAACAGAGCATTTACTTAAATATTTGTATCTATAAAAATAATGCATAAGCATAAAAATGTCTTTTATATATATATATATATATATATATATATATATATATATATATATATAACTATTCGAAACAAGACAATCTAAAACTTACCAAAGTAATAAGAGATTATAAACCAGGATATATTTATGGTTTTATCAAAACGCACAAACAACTTTCCACTCCGCCCCATTATACCCCAAATTCTTACTCCTGTCTACCAACTAACTAAAACGCTTAACCAAATAATCACATCATACCTACCTAACAAATACAGCATTAAATGAACCGTTGAACCTATACAAATATTAAAAACCGAAACACCTAACAATGAAAATATAGCATCAATTGACGTTGAAAATCTGTTCACTAACGTTCCAGTTAGAGAAACGGTTGACACTATTATTAAATATATATATATAATAATTCATCTCTACCCTCCCATTAAAAATTAAGCCTAAAATATTAAGAAAATTACTTTTAATCTGTACCAATGATGTCCCATTTTATGATCACAGAAATAACGTATATGTGCAACGTTATGGCGTTTCAGTGGGTTCACTTTTGGGACCAACCTTCAGTAACTTTTACATGGCTAACCTAGAAAATAATATATTTAGTACCACGAAGAAACCCTCCATTTACCTAAGATATGTAGATGATATTCTTATTTTAGTTAAAAACATAGAAGAAATAATGGAACTCCAAAAAAATCTTTCAAAAAAATTCCATCCTCAAGTTCCCATATGAAGTTAACAAAGATAACAAAATCCCTTTCCTTGGCATTTTAATAGATACAAAAAAAACAACACATTTACTATCTCTTTATATGAAAAATCAACCAGCAAAGCACTTGCACTCTCAACTTAAGGAGTAATGGATAGCGGCTCGGATTGAGGAATCGGAGAGCCGAGTTCGAAACTCACTCAAATCCAATACATTCACTTATGTCCTAATAACCTTAGGAAAGGTATGAATCCTATTCTTCCCCCGTCATGAGTGCCTAAGTGTGTATCACGCGTAGCAAATAACTGACTGGCTTTCAACTATAAGAGTGAATGTCCTAATTAATACAGAGTAGCACTCATACAGAATTTAATTAACCGAATACAAATTGATTCCTCCACAAAAAAGATTTTCTACAATGAACTAAAAAATATTAAGCAGACTCTCAATAATAATGACTTCCCAAACCACATTGTAGATGAACAAATAAGACGATATATAAAAAACCTCAATACATATCAAATAGAATATAGTACTTCCTCAAAGGACATTAAATATATCAAACTACTATATTGAAAAAGTAATAAAGAATCTTATTTATACTAACACATCTTCCAAGGATTCTAATAAAAAATAAAATTAATCATATATTATAAAAAATACAATACAGCCAATTTAATTATCCGTAATAAATCCTCCCCACTAACTGATGTACTACGTAAAACCAACATTATATACCAAATTAAATGTCCCTTGGGAGAATGTATCTCCGACACAAAAAAAACAAAACAAATATATATGTTGAGTGTACGACAAATACAGTAAAAAGGCTTGCATTAAACATGTCTGACCATTCGTCCATTACGTGACATCTACAACAACATTCCTGTCCGCATTCCCAATATAAGAAATTACTTGGAAAAAGATCGAAAGTATTTGGGAAATGAAAATAAAAGAAATTTAAACAGCTATAGCACATTTTTCTCATCATTTAACATCAATACACGGAAGGTTATTCGTGAGTATGAACGGATTTTATTCAAAATAAGCGGACATAATATCTGTAATTTATTCAATGA